GCCTCTGACCTGCTCTGTGACAGCTGGTCCGCTGGGCAGTGGGTGACGTCCTAGGATGGATTTGGCAGAACCGGATATGAGTTTGACTCTACTCACAGTGTTCTGTCTGGGCTCAGTGGCTGCTGCAGCGTTTGTTCTGAGATGAATAAACCATAAAAACAGAGCTGAGGGTTTCTCTGTGAAGATGGAAGGAGTGGAGGGAGACAGCAGAAGGTCAATGTCAGTGCTGCAAAGCTCTCAGTCTGGATGACTGACTTCACTGAGATGAAGTCCACAGGAACATCTCCAGGAGTTCTCGGTCAACCCTGGACTGAAAAGTGGACCCAGAGTGCAGAGTGTTCCATGAAAAGTGGACCGTCTCCTATGAATTTATTCACAGAGGGGAATGGGAACCCCGTGTGCTTGGCGTGTTGGCAGCAGGTTTCAGTACAACGCTTAGAAGGACAACCGAGAAGAGAGAAGATAAATGAGGTGTTAGTGGGTCTCTGCCCATGGCTGAGATGTACGTGATGCAGTGGTGAAAGCTAGCTACCTTATTGCTAGCGAAATAGCATTAGCATCGAAGCCAAACTGTGAGGGTGAGTTGGTGGAAACAAGCCTGCTGAAGGCTGCAGAGCTCGTGGCCCTGAGAAGCCACAGCCTGATGAGAAACACTGTGGCTGATAGGACTTCAAAGCTTTCTGCAGATTTGGCCGACCGAATGAAGCACAAAGTCATTTGTTGTATTTTCAACTGCAACTGACAAGAGCACACATTCTGGATCTCAACTGGCCGCACTTGGTGTTGATGAGACTTTGACCGTCACTGCAGAGTTCCTGGAGTTGGTGCCTGTGATGGACACCAACAGCTGAGGACATTTTCAGCTCTCTGGTTGGAGCGCTGGACAGCATCTGAGTGGACCGGTCCGCTGTCAGCCCGGCTACAGACGGTCCAGGCTGCAAATGGAGGACATGGCTTCTGGACATGGCGCTGTATTTTGCCCCAGGAGGCATTGTGTTGCAGGTTGTTAAAGATGGATCAGTGGTGGTCTGAACTGTTCATGTTATCTGAGCCAGAGGTCCGAATCTCCGTCAGTTTTCCAGCCTTCTTAGTGGTAAAGACGTTAGCGGTGGCTAAGCCGCGGTGCCGTGCTGAAGCGTTTCTTTGATCTATGACAGGAAATCGGACAGTTCATGGAGAAAAGGACAAATCCCAGAATGGCTGCTGGACCTGGCATTTATAGTGGATGTTACACAGCAGGTAGTGATCTGAACAAAAAGCTGCAAGGCCACAGCAAAGAGTCCCACAGTGTTATAACAGCATACGCACATTTCAGTTGGAGCTGCTGACTTTGTGGGAGACAAGCTGTCAAGTGATGACTCAGCTCATTTTCCTCCTGTAAAAGATGTGCGGGCCACCGGACACGGAACGGTCCAAAGACATGATGACAGGATCGCTGCAGGAGTTCAGCGCTTTCAGGTCTTTGGTGAGCTTGAGACAGAATTCGCTGTCGTTTGTTGCTGTTCACAGTCAAGGCTTCTGATCTGCTTGCAGCCCTTGCTGCAAAGGTTTTGTGCATGTTTGGACTACCTGCCTTTGTGAACAACTTTTGCCTCTAATGAGCATCACTCAGACAAAGCTGCGCTCAAGGCTCACACACAAGCACTTAATGACAACCTGAAACTGGCTGCTACTCAGGATTTGACGCCTGATATTGATGCACTTGTGAAGGCTAAAAGACGCCAAGTTTCAGGAGCAAATTAAACCACGAGTAAGTCTGCTGGATGTAAAATGCTGCTTCAGACACTGTTGCACCCTGAAGAATTGCTGTCCAGTCCGTTTACACTGCTGGTGCTGCAGCCGATGAGCAATTTGCAATTTGCTAGGTGGAGCCTGCAGAAGGTGAAGGCGGAGCCTCCAAAAGGTGAAGGTGGAGCCTCCAGAAGCTGAAGGTGGAGCCTGCAGAAGGCGAAGGCGGAGCCTGCAGAAGGTGAAGGCGGAGCCTCCAGAAGCTGAAGGCGGAGCCTGCAGAAGGCGAAGGCGGGGGGGCAGAAGGCAATAAGATCGGACCAGGCACAGATGGGCCACTGGAGCAGAGAATCAATTGCAGACTGTGGAACAGAGAAAGAATGTGCAATCATGGCTGGTGGAGGGCTCTGGGACCGAAGGCAGCCTGCAGATCCAGGGAAAGGGGGTCCAGAGGAGGAACAAGGTCCAGATTGGCAGTGGGTGCATCAAGTGTGTCAGCATCTCTGCCTCAGATTCTGAGTTGCTGCTGGTCCTTGCTCCTCCTTTCTCTGCCGTCCTGTCCTGGTGAGCTGCTGTCTAATCAGCAGCAGGTGTGAACACCTGAACATCACTCTCTGCCGGCAACTTTGACACTCTGGTTTCCTGCCTTGGCAATAATTCTGGACCTGTTGCTGCCTGCCTCGCTGTTTAGAACTTCTGGACTCAAACCAGCCATCAGTTCCTTCCTGCCTGCTCTACTCCCATCCCCAACCTGCCAGCTAAGTTTGCCTTGTGTTTGGTCACTTCCCCTTTACTTTATTTTCTGTCAGTGCTTGTAATTTGCATTCGTTACTCCTCTTAGCTTTTCTCACCTTCCCGTCCTCAGGTCTGTTTAGCGCCTGGCCTGTTTCCCATCAGATCATTAGTGTGTGTTCTCCCATATGATTGTTAGCCCCGTGGTTAGCTCATCGTGTTTGTGTTTTGTTTTTAGTGTTCTGAATTCATAGTTTACTTGGTCTTGGGTTTTCAGGCGTGTGTTCTGCCTGGTTCCCTCCTCTGGTTGTTTGGTCATTAATTCAGTGAATCCTGTGCAGATTACTGACAGTCCACTTTGTAAAGAAACGCTTCACGTCGTCTCTGTTCTTGCTGTCCTCATTAGTGTCTGCACCTGGGCTCTCCGTGGACTCCTGTGACAGAGCGAAGGCCTCCGTCTGGGTTTCATGCAGTGGAGTGCTAATTGAAGGCAGGTGTGTTCACATGCTGGTGATCATGCAGCAGCTCAGCACACATGGAGGGAGGAAGGAGGCGGGAGGCTGCCAGCACAAACATCACTCCCATGTCTACTGTGCAAATTCAGTTATCGTGATGAGAAACAACACTTGTTGTGCTAAACTTTGTCTTGTCTTGTCTAAAGTACGGTTTATTCATGTGTACTGAGTCGTGCAGCTTCAGCAGGACGTCGTGTCTTAATGGCTGGACGGTTTCAGAGTGACTTTCTAAACATCGTTTGGATTGCAGTTTGGAAATGGAGATGATTTGAAGCTTTTCTGTTTCATTCGAGTTGAGCACCATCAGGTTAGGAAACAGCAGCAGAGGTGAGCTAACGCTAACGCTAACCAGAAAACATTTTGAACAATCACTGCAGTGCGCTGGTGGATGGACACAGCCAGTAACGTGTGAATGCCACCACGGACCATCTGATCCTCTGCTCGATGCTAAATTCAGGCCTTGACAGGAAGTCAAGTCTGTTTTTCTGAAGGTGCAATGCCCTGTAATCAGATTACAGTAAAGTTAAACGTGACAGATGGCTTTCCTCTGACTGTTTCTTGTCAGAGCAGCTTCAGTAGTTCTCTTCTTCAAACCCTTGATGCAGGACTAGTGTCTGCACTGCAGCCCTGGTTCCTGATACCGGTCCAAGCACAGCCACTTCTTTAGACCAGGGGGGCAATTGTTTTGTCCAAGGGGCCACATGAGAAACCTGATCTGTGTTGGAGGGCCAAACCAACAATAAACTGAACTTAATTCTGCTCAGTATTAGTAGAAGCTCTAACGTAGGGGAACAGTGGGGATGTCCTGCTACAACAAACACATGAAGTTGTGGAGTTATAGAAGAAACAAACAGTACAAACAACAATGTAGGTATTTCATGTTTAACATGTTCATCTCACTGACCAATGATGAAACGTTAAGATAAGTACCTGAACAGCTTCATACAACAAGCAGGAAGTGCTTTCAATGTTTCTCACTTCATTTAACTGGTTTAGTGAGAAACAGCCAGTCTGCTGTGTGCTTGAACCAGTGCACTGAAATCTGGTTGAATGTCTGAGGTGGACATGAGCAGGACAGCTGACATCAGTGCCAGAGGATCTGTTTCATGAACTTGATTTATAGGTAGATCCAAAGAGGGCCAGAACCATCTGAGCGTGCCTCCTCATGTGTGGAACGTTCTCCTCTTTGAGGGAAGAGACTGACCTGAAGTGTTCTGTTGGGAGTGTGTCAGACTGCAGGTCAGTGAGGGTTAGGGTTAGGGTTAACGCTAGCCCTAACCCTCACTGGTTAGGGTTAAC